AATCAATCAATCAATCTATCTATCTATCATAATGTAAGTGGCTCCCCGCTGCCTAAGTCTGATGCCTTCCAAGCCGCAGTGGTCCTACAGCCCCCTGGTTTCCCGTGGACATCCCGCCATTCTGCTCAATCTCCCCACTTGGCATCTGGTAGCTGCCTGGCTGATGCAGGTTTAAATCACCTTCTATTAGGTTCTTTACGGTAATACCATCTGACACAGATTTCAATGCCTCGTTCCCCTCGTTGCGACTCACAACTGAGAGTGGGAAGCTGCTTGCATCTAATTTCAGTTTCAGGCTCGTTTTCATTTAAGAAAAAATGTAAAGCATTTTTTTACTGCCAAATGGACAGAGAATCTAAAATCTAAAAATGGGCAGATGGAGAAGATCACAGCTACCTCTGCTGGCTACTGGGGAAATAAATAGTAACTCTACAGTGGATCACAATCTCTGGTATTTGTAAATCCGCCTGTGCTATTTTGATGGAGAAATTTAGACGGAGGTCAGGGTTTATGTTTACAGCTCTGGCCACATATCCATGTTAACAACACTGGCCACATGTCACTCAGGGGCTGAGCTAACGGGCTAAACACTAAAAGCCACTAAAATGAATCAACACGAACAAGGACCACTAGGGGGCAGTCAGCTGGACATGATCCTATGGGAAGCAGGTCTGCTTAGAAACATGAAAACTCACTTGCCACAAAACTGTCCAAAACTTCAACGAGTTTGTCAGCACCCTGCCGAAATGATGTTGAGGCAGACATTACCGTCGAATAAGAGAGAAAGTTGGTTTTGCAGAAACTCAACAATTGGATACGCTCATTAATATAATTAGAGAGACATGACTGAATATTTATTGTAGCAGTCAGCTTTGCCACAGGAAGGAAGCGGCTGGATAGCTGTTCAGAGACTCGTCTAAAACATTGGAGGCGCAATTTGAATTATTCATGTAGAGTATTTGCCATGGAAGAATAAATCTATTAAAGTTCAGGTGAAAGTCTGGGAAAGAGAGCTGTCCACAGAATGTTAGCCACCTCTATGCATATGTAAGAAAGCTCTCATGCCCTTCTGAGAGATGACAGATTTCGGTTGTTGGTGGGAATGCTTGTCTTTGTGTCAGACCTTAAGGGACCTTTCCGGCCTGTATTTCTTGGGTCTCAAATGTGATGAAAAGTCGATGAAAGACCTGATTCTTTCGACGCGTATTTGGAATGTGGGAAAAAAATATCTGGCAGGACTCTATTCTTAAGAGTACACACAAACGCTCAATGGAGTATTGAAGATGAATTTCCTGAATATGCATTCCTAGGCTTCCTGCTGCATTGGTATATTACACACACCCTGTCATAAGAATATTTTATGAAGCTCCATAATGTTTCAATGTCTAAAGATTCACTGGAATGGTAACCGGAGGTAGTTTGCATGAAAACAACAAATAAATGTGGAATTGTGATAATTCACTTCCCATTGAACAGCAGGAGTATTGAAATGAACAAAATCGCATTGTTACACGGATTTATCACAGTACAGGGACAATTCATCTTCTGTCTTTGAGCCCATTCATACTGTGTTTTTCTATGTGGAATTTAACCTAAATTTGGGGAGCATTGGGGCAAAGGGCTCCCGCTGGGTTTTCTCATTCACTCTCATTCATGACCCCAGCTGTACACAGATTGTGGCAGTCTGCAGATCTCGATTTCACCATTGTTTTAAGAAACTACATAGTGGTCCTGTTTGGATGCAAACACAACCAACTTGAAATATATCACGCAAACATGGAGAGTGCATCCAGACATACTGGGATGAATTTTATGGTAAATTGTCCAACTTTGCTACACATACACTTGATAATATTTGATCTTGACTTTGGCTTTGATCTAGTCTTGTCAGCACCATGCTAATCAGCCTTGCATATTGATGGATTTGAGGTTTATGCAGGACAATTTCTGGTCACCATGGCCAGACCAGGGTTGGAAAGGGTCTAGTTTCATATCTGTATTTTACCAAAACACAAATATCAGGCAGAACTTCAACTTCAATTATGGACAATTGAACAATTGCAGCTACAGAATAAACCAACAATGTCCACAGAACCAAGATCTAGGTGTTCCATCCACACTGTGAGAAACAGGGGACTCATTGTGATACGAAATGAACAGATATGAAAGAGTTCCTCATCAAGGGTCTTTTATTCACAACCCTGAACCCAAAGCAGGGTTACATGCTGAGCAAAATGTTTTGACTCAGCTGGGAAAGGAACAGGCCATTCATGACCATAACTGCTTGGACATTGCAAGATGTTACTTTTGTACGTGGATACTGGACCCTCATGTATCTCCTGTTGACTGAGATTCACCTTTAAGCTTTAAGACCCTTTTAGGCCTCCAAGACATCAGTCCAGCAGTTAGAAAGATCCACACCAGAAAAGTACGGACTTGTTTGGCGTATGCTTGGAGCATGCATGTCGTTAAAGTACGGACTTGTTTGGCGTATGCTTGGAGCATGCATGTCGTTAAAGTACGGACTTGTTTGGCGTATGCTTGGAGCATGCATGTCATTGGCTGAGAATTTGCTGGAGGGTTCAAACCTGTCAAGTTACAGAACCCCCTTCTGAGCATCAAAGAGAAGTGGAAATGAGTTGGCAGGCAACCATGAACAGCGTAAGTAAGACCATAGCTGTTTATTGGTCTTTTAGCAATTCTTTTTAGGAACAAACTGAATATTTTACTCAGGAATATCTGTAGTAACATTATTATTGCCATCAGGAATAATAATCATGCACATTTTGCTTTCCTAGTAGTATTCAGTACCTATCTAAATAATCATCTAGACAGTAATGCTAACATGAAGGATATGCGTCTTTAACAGATGGCCTGTCTCACAATAATCAAACCCCCCTTAAAAACCACAAGTCATGGGTCTTGCTCTTAATGTTGTCTTTTTTTCCAAAATGAAGATTCCAGAACTGGCTCCACTAGCAGCAGCTATAACAAAACTCCACATCAGAGAGCACTCGCCCAATCAGAAGACAAGACTGCGGGCCAAAGAGCGGTGTGCATCAGCGGGCCGAGAGCACTCGCCCAATCAGAAGACAAGACTGCGGGCCAAAGAGCGGTGT